GTGCATCACTTGCTTTGTACATTATTATTATTATTATTATTTTATTGTTACTATTATTACTATTTTACTTTATTTCAATTATTAAACTGTTCTTATCTCAACCCAGGAGTGTTTCTCACTCTTACTCCTCCGATTCTCTCCCCCATCTCATCTGGGTAGGGGGAGTGAGCGAGCGGCTGCATGGTGCTTAGTTGCTGGCTGGGGCTAAACCACGACAAAAGACTAGAACATTATTTACAAAGGTACTGTTCTAAGAGGTTTCACTGCTTAAATAAAAAGTAAGAAGGTGGATGCAAAGACATTTCAGTGAGTTGGCCTAAATAAACAGCAAAATTGGGCTTGTGTAAGACTTTTGCAACCTGCCATATCAGATATGCTGTTCTAGGCATGAGTAACAGTTGTGTTTCCATATCTGCACAACTTAAGCCACATGAAGATGAAAGAAAATGAAGTGTAATGAAGAAACTATGGCCTTTTAAAAGACGGATATTTTGGTTTAAGTAGCTATCCAGTTTGATGTTGAAGTCCTGCCTTCCATTTTTATATGCAGATGCAGAGGTATAAAGAACCATCATACAAGACACCTGGTTGCCAATATGTAATGTGCATGTATATGTTGGTGTGTACATGTAGTGTTCATTTCAGGAAGGTGTGTAAGGAATGAGCTGTATCTGTGTACTATTGATAAGTTTTCTATTTCTTAAAATCATGTTCTGAAGGGCATTGAAAATAGAGTCCATAGCATATTTTCCAGAATTTCAGTTATGAAAATTCCATCTATGTTTATGGATATGCAAATCTGAGAAGGATCCTGTAGTGATCTGTCAATTACATAGCACAACATCTTTGTATTTCTTGCCTTGAGCTAATGACTAGAATCAAATTATTGTTTCATTACTTGGAAAAGAGGCCAGACTGTGATTTAGAAAACAAATGAGGGCTGTTTTCCTTTTTATTCTGAATTACTCATTGATGATTTTTTTTATCATTATGAAGGATTTTATGATTTATCAGTCATCTATAGGCTACTTTAATAGAATACATTGATATTACCACAAAATTGAAGTTCTGACTGTGACCCCTTTTCTTACCCATTTTGTTCAGGGCCTTTTCTGTGTATGGCTTCATCAGTCCACAGTACCATGAAGTAAAACAGAAGTAATTTTCTGTCTGTCCATTACAAAGAAATCTAAAGGCCATATACCTTTTTAAAATACAGTCATGATGTTGCAATTTTATAATACTTCTTCAGGGAACAGAAATCACATCACATAGCAGTTTACATAGAATTTGCTCCTCAGGCAAAAAGAAAGGCTTCTGATTAAACTAGTAAATTAAAGAAATCCAGAAAAGTCTGTTTAGTGGAAAAGAGCTTGCTTTCAAATGCTGGCATCTTTGTTCTATGCTACATTTGAGCAGTTTCCTAGAAAATCTTGGGGTTTTTTTTTCTGGATCCTTAATGAAAACAGCTACAAGACAACATGATTTGCATCATCTCATTCTGCTAGTGTTAGAACAGGATGAGCTTTGACCTTTGCTTGTTTCCTGATTTGATTTACCATACCAGATCCTACATAGAGCTGCCAGTGCCTCTCAGTAGCATTGGTATGTGTGGAAATAGTTGGGATGTTTTAGAAGGGTCTGGTAAGATGAATTTCAAACTTTCTTCACGTTGCAAACTGGTAAGTTTAAGATGGGGGAATCAAACTAACTTCCAGCTTACAAACAAAACAGAGAAAAGAGAAAAATGCTTACTATCAGATAAGATGTATGACATCAAATAATCAAAACTCTACCAACGATTATTTTCCTACTAGTACATGGGTTGGTTTTTTTCCCAGAACAAATGTTTATCAATATTATCTAATAATTTATCAAATAGAACAACAAGGATTTAGTAGACTGTTTATAAAACTAATTTTAAAGATATTTTTATTAGTATGACAAGTTAGTTAGCTGGTCAGTTACAGAAAGAAAGGTCTACCAGAAGATTGACCCTATAAGGTGCCTTCCAGTATTTCTGTCTACTTTCCCTCTTAGGTTCCAAAATACATGTTGATGCACAGGTAACTTTTTCATTTAACTCTATGCAAAGAAAGCTTTGGAGGGAAGATCCACTTACAGAGTCTGAAAAATAACACAGGAACCTCTTTCAAATCTCATGTCCACTGAAGAACATGATTGGGTTGTTTATTCATGAGGGGGGAAATGGAAAAGAAATAGTGTAATGTAAACCAAGTTATGTGATAGAGGCTGTTCAGGGTATACCTGCTGAGCAGCCACATACCTTATAGCTCAGCCTGGAGCAGGACAAAACACGTTTTATGGGTTGACCATACCTCATGTGTCTTGCTTGTTCCTGAGGTCAGAGAGATCTGAGGCTTTTTCCCTAAGGCCAGTGAGCAGACACCATGGAGGGGCAGAGGATAGACCAAACCTCCCAATGTGTCTTTCATGGTGCTAAGCTGGCAACCACCATCTTTCACAGATGGTGAAAATGCCATGTCATGGTGTCATTGCCATGTCCTGAATTTTCACCAGCTCTGCTAAATGCCATACAAAATTCTTCTGCAAGCCATTGCTGTCACCTGTGGAACAGTTTCTGTCACAAGGGGAAGAAAGACTTCAACAGAAATAATTCTTTAACTTAGTATTTTTAAATCTTTTAAAAAACCCAGTTCTGGCACAAACTCATTTTAAATACAGATACATTGCTTCAAACAGATTGACTGTGACAACATCAAACCCAGATATTTTAAATCAGAATGGGCTTAGTCAACACAAGGCTCAAGCCATATATAAGCCATAAAGTGATGATCACTTTAAAAGAATATAAACTCCCACTGCAGTCCCAGTCCTAATGTAACAATAACATGCTGAGTTTTGGACTCTGCCAAAATATGTGATTTGTCCAGGAAATTGTGATTTATTTCTAAAGCTGAAGGAATTTCTGTGTAGAAAAATATTACAGGACACAGCTTGTCAAAATGGAGACACTTCATGGAGATACGCAATTTCTAGAAACTTATAAAGAGAATTTCAAGCCATATATTTAAAAATTGGTGAACTTTTTTCTCAATAATACTAATTAATTAATTTTAATATTTTAGTAATTTAATGATATTTGGCAATATTTAAATGACACAAATCCATGCTTCTGATTTGAGGAATCTATTCTCCATAACAAAAATCAAAATATTAACCTTTCAATTCATTATTCAGAAAAGTCTGATATTAAGGAAATTCTTTTTCCTATTAGCTCTAATCACAGGATTTTGGTGAGTCTTCCAATGTATCTTTTTCCTGGGAACACAGACACTGATTACTAGTTTAGCAACAGCCAGGAAGCTCAAAAGTCTTTGTCATTCTTTACTGAATCACACAGGAATCTTAAAGATGCTTTTAGAATCAACAAATATTTTTTCTACTTATAGAATCAATCAGTAAGAAATTCCCAAATTCTTCAGAATTCCTTAGCATCCTCATTATGTGCTTGTACTAATCCAAAACAGCCTTCAAGCTTCATATTCACATCTAAAATTTAAGCATGCCTGTGCTTAATCAGGTCTGTTCTGTTTGTATCATGAGAGGCTGATTTGTAACTTAAACCATTTCAAGTGATTACATTATTGTCTGAGTCTTGGCCTTGTTTTTCTGCTGTCTTAGAGAAACAGTGGTGATTTCCAAAGAAAGTACAGTCAGTACAGTACTTGTATTCTGCAGGCAATCATCTTTTAAAATAGGAGAGAACTTACAGAATTCTTTGTAGCAAGGGTCATATCCAAGTAAAATAAATTCCCAGCTTCTTTGTGATTCCAGATCAGGGCCATAATCTACTCATTCAATGCTTCATTATTTTATACCTCTGGTGACTTCAATTTAATTAATTTGATCTGAACTAGAAAGCCCAGGCTAGCCCAATGTCTTTTACATGGATCTAGTTCTGACATGACAGTTTGTGTGGTGCAAAATCCTAGCTGGCAGCTCTCAAAATTTGGGGTTGCTTCAGATTAAGACCATAGAGTGTCCTGCAGGACAGGCAGCCATTACAGCTATACATATAGCTTCCCTCGTGCTTAAAGATAAAAAAAAAGTTGGATAAAATGAGAACCAAATAAATAAAATATGTAACATAGAGGATAAGGAAGGAAAAGACTGACTTGGTAGCACCAATATGGGCCTCTAAGCTGGGATCCCTGAAGGCGGTTGCATTATTTTGCATGTCTGGTGTGTATCCACAGAGATCTAATCAGTAGGATACTTGAAACAACAAACATTATTAAAGGCAAACCTATACCAGCGTTCCAGAGAAGAATCAATAAAACCAAACTAGCTTTCATTGTGACTCTCCTTTCTGAAGAGTTTGTCATGGTTAAAGGAGCAGTGAAGTTGTTGTGCACATTGTAGATATCCCAGGTGAAAGGAAGAGAGGTTGCAAAGGAGAAAAGATGATATTATCAGCATCCAGGGCATGAGACTGGAAATTCTCTGCTTCAGCCAGATGAAGAAAGACTGAGTAAAACTAGAAACCTTGATACAATAGAAGACACTAAGCCAGGCAGCAAACCAGAGGCTGGAGTAGTTCAGAAACATAAAAATTGTCTTGAAAATTACAAAAAAATTTTCTTCATAATTTCTTCTTCTTGTAAGGAGGTTTTGCAAAACAGACTTAGGAACAAATCCAGCATCATCCACAACTGCAAAAAGAATCTGGATAAACTCAGAAAGATCATAATCATATCATAGAAGGACATATGATGTTCCTGATGCAGCTAGTTGAACTGACAGCCAAGATAGTTCCATTTCATAGAAGTCTTGCCATGGATTCAATTATAGCAGTTGTTAGAAAAAGACAGAAAATAATGTGGGTATAGCAACTCAAGAACTCACAATATTACTCAGCTTTTCATGGCCTCCTGAAAGCCTTAGATTTGCAGGGCAATGCCAATCCCAACTAGCTCTCATCAGTACATGCTCACCTATTTATCTCAGAGGAAGAAGTATCATAAATAAGTAATTTACTATTTATATTATTTTTTTTTTTATGATTAATATCTCAGCTGCTTTCTCTAAGCGTGCAAATTGGATAAAGATTCAATTATGGTCTTTCCAGTTCAGAGAAAGGATTTGCATTTAAAGGGCTCAGATGCATTTTTAAAAATGTGTTGTAATCCAGTTTTCACAGAACCCGCTGAATTTATGTATGTAAAGATGGAGAAGAGTTTCAAACATGTATCCTCTCTCATGCTAGGATTTGGCCCCATACCCCTATGTGGGTGGACAGAAAGATCATTTCAATATCAGAAAGGGCAAGAAATACAAGACATTTTCAGAAAATACACAATGAACTAAGTTTTGTACACAAATGTCTAAAGTCTCTTAAACCTGTTTGAGGAGTCTGATCCAATTTCCAGATCTGGCTATCATGCGGTTAACATTCTTCCCCTTCCCTCACTCCTGCAACTGTTTGGCAAGCACTCTCACTGTGGGTCCTAGATTTGCAGAAAAGGCATTCACAGCTTGACTACTATATGCTTGATTTTTCCTAACAAAACAAAAGATTCAGACCTTGGTTCAACTCCACTTATGGACTTGTAACGGAATAGCTAGTGTTATTATCTAAAGAGATCATCCCATCCATCAGGGAACTGGGTGCTTTAGTACAGGTTTTTTACAGTCTTTTTTTCTTTTTTTTTTTTTTCCCCCTGAATCTATGGTGTTTTGTTTATGTATTGACCAGTCAGAAGTACTACCCCCTAAGCACTGAAGTTCTGCAGCCAGCAGCCTAACTACACCTTTAAGGACCAACCACACCAAAGCCAACTGAAGAGAAAGGTATGGTTTATGCTGATTGGCAGCTTATCCCTACCACCTAATTGATGAAGCAAGCACACATTTTGTTCTTGCTGATCATCAAGTCATGATGTGGATCTGATCTACTGCCTTGTTTCTTTCCTTTGACTGCTGCCAGCCCACTTGTTCTTGTTTTTATTCATCCACCATGTTGGAGCGTAGTGATCCGGAGGACAGGTTACTCACCCTGGACAAAAGAGAATCTGGCGAAGCCTTCCAACTTTCAGTTAAATCTCCTAACTGCTATATAGTAGAGGAGAAAAATATAGGGACGCTGTCTCATTTCCCATGATGAAAAGGCATTGTAACTTCAGAAATTATTTGAAGGTGACATTACCAAGAAGAACATGAATCTCTCTACCTTGAAAAGGTACTTCAAGGTGAATAGTACTCTGGATGGGAAAGTATCTACATCTGTTTCACTCCACTGAGAAAGATTTGGGCATTTTCTTTCCTTTTCTTCCTTTGTGTCTGTTCAGTGATCATTGGGAAACCCGGTACTTTCCTTAGCACTGGCAGAGGAAGAAGTGAGAGACCAGACATGCTGACATCCTAATGCTGTGAAATACAGACATGTCTAGGGTTATGCAGCAGCTGAACTGGGGTTTTTAGAACTACAGTTTTGAACGCCGGTGTCTGATGTCCCAGTTTACACACTTATATTTGTATTTTTTATCTGATGCCTAAACCTTTCCCTGAACTGCACAATTATCACTTCTGAGTTTATAAGAAATACTTATCATGGCCTCTTCTACATTAAGAAACAAAATGGATGTCCTTATACTGGTGCCTGAGGTCAGCTCCTTATCTTTATCAGATATATTAAAATGGTTGTTACAAAGAGGATTATCATGTTTTTCTTATGTATGTGGAGATTTTTAAACATTATAATTATCATTACATGCTTGTTCTGAGTGTCCCAAACTAGAATAATACATTTGTAGGAAGATAAGAACAGGGAAAATTAAAATTATTTTACCAAAGTACTTCACCAGTCCGTTTCACTCTAGTCTCCTGAAAAAACACAAAATTCACCTGAGGAATTTAAGATCTGGAAATATACAGCATTAAATACAGGAGGAATAGCAAAAGTGCTAATAGAGTCAGAGTCTTACTCCCACATGGAATGTGCATACTTTTAAAATTCTGTTGTACTTGCTAAAAGGAATTAATTCAAACACTTTCCACGTAAAAGAAGAAAAAATTTTAAGGGACTTCTAAGTGAGCGGACAGGTTTGGGTTTAGTGAAAAGATTTGGGAAGGATGTTTTATATGTAGGATAGAACACTGAAGAAAAAACACAGACTTTTTGGAAAGGAAGTGATACAAATTGCTGTCAATAGTACAGTAGAAGGTATGGGCATTTACCAAGGGAGAAATTTTGAAATTTTTTTTTCAACACTGTTTCTTTGTGTAGTTTGAATTTACAAATGTAATCTATGATCGCCTAGGGCAGTGATCAAACTTTTTTGATCATGCACCCTTATGAATAAAAAATTTTTGACCATGCACCCCTGATATGATTCTATACATATATTTATTTATTCATAAATTATATACATGTGCCACGGTACATATTATGTACATTACAAAACATACACAAAAATATAAATTAAAAAATATTAAAGATTAAATAAACAATATTTTAAAATAAT